TCTCTATATTGGTCCTGTAGTCTCTGAGCATACAAAACTTGTACTAGTTTCAAAAGCTTGAATTATCTTATTTACCCAAAGAAGCAGCTGCAATGTTTCTCTTGATTTGAGGCACTAATACAGGGATTGCTTCTGTCAATTAAAAAAATAAGTGAGGTTTTACAATAAGAAAAAGCAGTTTGCTTTGAAAGTACTTTTTGACAAAAAGAACTGAAGAAATAAATAGATGTTCTCTTTCAATGCAGTTGTACAAAGGGTTCATAAATGCACAACAGCAATCTTTGAGAAAGCTACTCATTTGGAGCAAGGTTACATGCTCTGCCAAAGCATTTTTTAAAATATTGACTTCAACATCGACTTCTCCTATAAGCTAGAAAACCCATTTTTAATATTCAGCAATCTTAGGGTTATGTACATGATAGCGCTCTACCCCAAACTCTTTATGTATATAAAGCCTTCAAATCCTGCTTCCTCCCATGTTTGTGGACAACAACATTGCCACCTCGTTTCCTCTCTTCAGAGGAACCCAAGGAGGCTTATATAGCCACAGTTCATCGTCTCAATAAAAACTGTGTAGGTAGGTTGGACTGAGAGTCTGTGTTTGGCCCAAAGTCACCCAGTGAGCTTCGTGGCTGAGTGGGGACTAGAACCCAGATCTTCGGGTCGACAGTCCAACTGTTGTGCACATGCACTTTGATGAGGTTCCCAGGCATGCACGAGATATGGAGGGCTCTGGTGGGAATGGTGGCTTAGACTTGGAGGAGTGGGAGTGGATAGGTGAACCAGCCGTGGCTCAGAGTTCTCACTCCGATATTGGAGTTGCTGAGACTAGCGAGGCCCCGGCTGCCCAAACTCTCCTGGTGAGCCAGCCTGAGCCGGCTCTGGTTCAAAGTACTTCAAGGACAACTACAGAACCCCCTCCCACTCCTGATGGTGGGAAAGAAGCCGGCGGAGAACAGACTGGGGAGGGGTTCTTGGGAGGAGAACTTGACACCCCTGGAGACGTGGACACAAGGACCCATCAACACACTCACTGGCATGACCGATCAGAAACTCAATGGGAAGAGTGTCGGCATGCCCATTTTCATAGCGCACCCCCTCCAGCGAATGGCCCCAAAGGGTTCATAAACAGAGCTTTGCATGAATAGCGTTAGAGCGAGAGGTCAACTTTCCACCTGGAGTGCGAGTTTCAGAGCTTGTGAATACATTGTTGATGTATGGAATAAAGACTCTTTTAATAATTGCTGAAGTGCTTGTCTCGTTTGGGAGGGGATGCCTAATGCACTATACCAACACTCTCACAACTACGCTATTAGTTGTGTAACATTAAATGTGTATTTTCTGTATTAAGCATACAATTTTAAAATAAGAACATATTCACAAAGTAAAACAGTTCAGGCAAGCAAAGATTGTTCCAGTTCTCTGGAAAACAGGTAGCAGAACTTTGCCTGGGAATGAGCATGCTTGGCTAGAAAGTCCCTGCATGAAGTACAGCTTCAATACACACCATCAATCAGTACACACAGGACAAAAACAAGTGATGTTGAATAGGTACAGCTAGAACTTGGAGGGTTTGTTGAAGTTGTCAGATGTCATTTTATGATTTCGCTTGGACTTATGAATGTCTCTGGAGTAAAGTTGGCATCTTAACTTTTAGAGAAATTAGATAATCAATGGTTATCTTCCCTCTCTGATAAAATTTGAAGTAGGTTGTATTTCTTCAGCTGTGACAGATATACAGCACCTCTCTGGTCTGTAATCTCCAGCCAATGAAAGCTGCCTGTGCTAAAATCCCACAGAACTAAATGGAACAAATTAGTTGTGGTCAACAGAATTTCCTTTGATTTGGATAGGATTTCAGAATGACAGATGAGGGTCCTAATAGTAACCCTCCTTACCATATTGTGACCTTTCTGTACTTGTCCTTTGGTTTCCTGGGAAAGTCAGATTAGACATTACTTTATCTAAAACGGAGTGTTTCGGATCAGAGAAAAGCATGTGTTTCACCATATATAACAGGATGGTGTGTCTTGTATCCAGAAGCCCAGGGTGTAGCCAGTACAGGGCCTGTGAACTTAGTGCTCCATCTAGAGCAGCATTTACCCCACTTAAGGTTTTTTTTTTAAACAAGTCTCTTAGGGCTCAGTCATATGTATATTAATAATAATAACAACAGGCCTGGAACTCCCAGCATTTCAGTGTGACCTAGGCATTTTCAGAACACACCTCCAATTGCTCCTTGAATTTGTGACATTTCCACATAAAGGCTAATATTTTTTTCTTAGAATTAGAAAAAACTACCAGTGGCAACCCACCCCAGTCCCCACAAAGTGATAGTGTTCAAAACCGTTCAAGACATTTTTCATTTGTAGACTTCAAACAAACCTGATTTAGCTGCTATGATTATGAGTCGCATGCTTAAAGCTTTAAAAGGTCAAACAAGGAAGTTATTATTTATATAATGAAAGTCTTCATTATAAATGAGCTAAAGCTTCTGAATAGCAAAATAATTGTTCTTATGCAGGTTTGTGATTATGACAATTCATAGACACGAAAATGCTTTGGCTTGGTGACAGAAGTTCCTGTTGTGATGAAATCATGCCATTTTTATTGTTTTATTGCCTCTATTTTTATGGCAGTTTCCTATAGACGCTTATTTGTGACTAACTAACATTGGACTCCATGACATTTAGTTCTAAGTAGGCATATATATGCTTGCATTGTGGTTCAGCTGAAATATTTAAAATAATGTAATTTTCCACAACTAGCAGCATAATAAAACCAGCACAAAAAAGCTGGAATACAGGAGATTTAAAATTGTATTTGAATGTCTGGATAGAAGAGGCCAATCAAACCTTCACAGGTAAGGAATTTCATAATTTTGAGGCCACCACTGAGAACTTTTCTACACAATTCATCACATGAATTCAACAGCCCATCATATGCAAAGAGCTGAGTTTGGTGTGGAAGAGTCATTGCTTTTGGTGCCAAGTGGACCTTGCTGGGGAGAGTGTGTTGGGGGGGCACATGAATATTGAAAAGGGCTTCTTCCTTGTTGCCCTCTTTTGAATGATGCACCAACATCCTTTTTACATCACATAAAAATGTATCCTTGAAAAAAAAAAACATGCAGGACGTTTTAGATGATGTTTGGATCAACTCCACCCCCTTTAGCAGGTTTGTCCAGTTAGCACCCAGTCCCTGGCTTCTTCCTTTATTGCTAAGCTTGGCTTCATGGGACCCCCCCCCCCCCAGCCTACATTTCCCAGGGCCCTGGATCTAGTTCTCAGAGTCCAGATTGCCCGTGGGCACTAATGGACCTTTGCTCCCCTCAGCTTCTCAGCTTTATTGGCATGCAGGGGGATTCTGCAAGGGGGTGAGGAGGGTTGCCACTGGGAAGGAAATGTTAACTTTCTCCATTTCAGGTGTGGCAACACGCCCTCACTGAATATTTCTCTGTATGGCAACTAAAATGACAAAATATTTTTCCTCATTAGTTTGGAATGATCTGGTGCTGGGTGACGATCAACAGAAAAATATTTCATTTGAGTGAGAAAATAATTGCCTGGCTTAACTTCATGTAAATGTAAATAAATCCTAGTAATTATTTCTCAGTTTATACACTGACATAGGCACATTTTCTGGAGTTCTTGTCCAGTGGGCTTGGACCGCCGTTGTTTTCAACACCTAGCAACATCTCTGCATTTCTGAAAGGCGGGATTCATTCCTGAGGAGGGCGGGAGCGAGAGCAAAACGTGACCCTCTTTTGCGGGCTTGGGAAAAACGCTGCCGGGTGTGATGCGGAGTGTGACACGGGCCTGGCTCAGCGGCAGCCCGCGGCACATGCTCTCGCATGCTTCCTCCCCGCACGCAAGGCCTCGCCAAGAGCTAAAAGGAGAAGGGATAATTCCCGCGCCATTTAGGGGAAAAGATTAATTTGGTCGGTTAATCCCCCCTCTAAACTCCCACCACCCAGAGCAAGCGGGAGGGAGCAGGCAAACAACGAAGCGTGCCTCCGAGGGCACGCGTCGCCGTGGGGAGGGCAGGGAGAGCGCATGCGCGTCGCCTCCAAAGCGCCGAGGGGTGGCGCGGGCTACGGTGCCTCGGCGAGAAAGTTGCCCGGGGGCCGCAGGGAGGCCGGCGGCGGGCGAGGAGGCGCAAGAGGCGCTGTCGCCCAGGACGCTCTCTCCGAGGGACGCTGCTCGGTCGCCCAGCAGGACGCGCCTGGCGGAGGAGGCGAGCGCGGGGCTCGCGTGCGCTCCGGGGTGCAGTTGGAGAGGAGGCAGCCCGACTGCCGGGGGATGGTGAGGGTGAGGATGAGCGCGGCGACGAGGCGCAGGACGGGAACTGCCGCCGCCGCCGCCGCCCTGCGCGCGTCTGGCAACAGCGGGAGGAGGAAAGCAAGGGGGATGTAAAACTTTCCAAGTGGGATGTTGCCGCCGCCGCCGCGCTCCTGACCGCCCGGATCACTCTGCCTCGTGCTCTGTCCCCAAGCGGCGCTTGCGATCTGGACGGGCACGTTCCCCCTCCTCCTCCTGCGAGTGAGGCAGGCAGGGAGGGACGGACCGAGGCTGCTCCTGCTGGATGCTGGATGCTCTTTCCTTCAGCTGCTTCTCCAGAGCCGGCGGTGATTGCTTGCCTTGCCCAACTTGAGCCTCTCGGCAGCAACCGGGGCTGGCTTGCAGGGAGCGGAGGAGGCTGTTCCTTGCGCTGCCTTACCAGGTGCGCCGGCGATGGGCTCCTGCTGAGCCTGGGCGCAGACACTCGCCACCTGCTGCGGGGCGACTTTCGCCGCTGCGCTTTGGCCCAGCTGCCCCTTCCGTGCCTGTGTAGTTCCTTTCCTTGCGCCCTGACGCTTGATGCCGGACCTGCTTCCTTGATGCGCGTCTCGCTGTTGGTCGTGAGGATGGAACCCTCGCCGGGGCTTCCGTCCGAGTGAGTCCCGCACCCTGGAAGACACGGAGGCCCTCCTCATCGTGGCCAGCCGGGCCCGAATCGCCATGGGGCTGGAAGAACAGCCGATCGCGCCCGGGAAGCCGCTTCTCTTCAAGCTGAGGAAAGTTCGCAAGAGGCGGGAGATGCTGCTACAACAGCTCGGCTTCATCTGCGCGATACTCTTCTTCGTTTGGTGCATGTCCAGCCTTCTCTCCAAACTAGGTAGGTGGGTGGCCAAAGGGAAGAATGAAGAGGGTGGGTGGGACACACACACACACAGAGAGGCACCTGTATGGGGAGGGGGAAAAGAGACTGAAACCAGGGTTCGGCAACTTGGCATACTCCAGATGTTCTTGAACTCCAGTTCCCATCAACACCATTCTCTCAGGTCAGGGATGATGAGAGTTGGAAACCAAAACATCTGGAGGACACCAGGTTGCTTATGCTTGGTATGAACATGGCCCTTGTGTACCATCTTCCCCTGTCTGCTCACAGATGTTTCTTCTCCCACTCAACTCCCAGCGTACATTCACATGATTTGCTGGTTTTGCTCCCAGCGTACTTTCACATGATTTCCTGTGTCTAGATCTCAGGAAAAAAGGAGCTTGATCAGACTGGTGGTCCGTCTGATTCAGCATCCTGCTTCTCACAGGGATGTCCAAAGAGATCTGGGAAGCCCACAAGCAGGACGTGGAAGCAGCAATCTGCTCCTACTCCGGGCTGCTGGCATTCGATGGCTTACAATGGCCTCTGAAAGCTGCAGGTTCCATATGACCATCACGACTAGTGGCCATTAGTGACCATCATCTTCAAGGAAATGTGACTGATCCTCTTTTAAAGTAATCTAACCCAGTGACTCTTACTATGTCTTGAGGCTGGGAGTTCCACCAAATTAATCATGAAGTGCTTCCCTTTACTGTCCATTCGTTCATCTGCTGCCAATAATCAATGGATCAACCTGTTCCTAGTTTAGAACTAAAATGGGCTTTTACTTTGAAGATCTGCAGAGTTCAGTGGGATTTTCTCCCAACTGTATGTGTTTAGGATTTTAGCCTTTGCTACTGCAGTGATAACGATTCATGCTTCTTGATTCATACTGGTGCATGCCATACATGGGGGTGAGGGGAGTCATTTGAGCCCAAAGGAATATGAATGCAAGATTGTTCCTGGATACTTAAAGTATATGACTCAAGTAGGTTATTCCAGTTCAAGGCTGGTCTTTCAGCAATACAGGGCAGATTTATGCACATTTTCCTATCACAGGTAGGAAAAAGAAATTGGAACATTGATGTACACTCACTTCTGTAATGATCATGTGTGTTGCAGAGTCAGATTTGGGAATGCTGAGTAGGTAGAACAATGCTGTATTTCTATGGAATGTGAAAGCCTATGTTAGTGTAATTTGTATTGATTCAGAAAGATGCAGGGAACAGAGCAGAACTGGTGTGTGTATGTGACATTAGAAATGGTGACTTAGTGACTTTCTGCCCCATTTCATTGTACATTGCATAAAAGCCATGGTGCCCATTGACTGAGCTTTCACTGGAGATGGATTCTGCAGGAAAGTCTTGATGAGTACCCACTTCATTCCCCCTTCCAAAGAGCCCCCTGCACTCTGAGTTGTGCAAAAACTTGGCAGCAGCAACTGGCCCACAGAAATGCTTTCTGTTCACCTGCTGTGCCGCTTTCTCTCATTCGCGCTCGCTGTCTCCTCCCTCCATAGGCTTAGAACAGTAATTCCAAAATAGACAGATTAGAAGTGAGATTGCCAGATCACATTTAGCAAATAATAAGGAGCAATGGACTTTTGCTGTCTGTTCTGGGGAGTTTGATGAAGCATTGGCAGAACAGAAGCCTGGTCATCTGCTGTGATCCATAAAGATTTGTTATAGTCCTGAACAGCAGACGATCCTTTAAAAGACAGCAGGCTCTTAAATAAATGGACATCTGGCAACCTTTGTTATTGGGTTGCCAGCTACCCTTTTCCCACCAATAGGGCTTCTGTGTGTTTAATAAGAGAAAATTGGCAGTTGCAATAGCTCCTCCCTTTAGTGCCAGAGATGGGAACCTCTGCAGTTCCACTCTGCCTAGTAGCTATTAAAAGCTGACTTGTTGGACTACAAATGGATAGCTCTCCATAGCTTGGACATGTCCATCCATGGATATGTTATCCACCATTATGCTGATGATAGGTGTTGGGGAAATGGGGCATCCAAAGCTAGATTAAGGAGTGGGTGTAATGTGTATGGCTATTGGACAAAGTTAATAATAATCATCATCATGATCATCATGTTATGGTTTCTCTTACTAAGAGGTGGCATGGCATAGTAACTAACGCTGCAATCTTATACACAAGTGTGGGCAACATATAGCCTGAGAGCTGCCTAATGGTTCTCCTCATTGTGGCCACCCTGCATTGCCCTCCTCCAGCATCTGTGGTAGTACCACAGTTTCCACAAGGGTGCCTTTTGTTTGTTCAGTTTGCCTCATGGGTGCTTTGTAGCTGCAATTTAGGTGGGAGGTTTAGAGAGGCACCAGGGGCTAGAGTCCATGCTGATGGTTGGAGAGTTGAAATTGGCCCTGGATCTTCAGAAGTTGTCCACTCCTGTTACGCACTTTCTTGGGAGTAAGTCCCATTGAACTTGCTAGGAATTGCCAGATGAAGATGTGACTGTGGGGTGGGACAGCTCTCTCTCCCCACTTCCCTACTGCAACCAAATAGAAAAATTTACTATGCCAGTTCTTTGGCATAGTTTCTGGCTCTGTTTAGGGAGTGTCAACAGAGTGAGGGGGCATAGAATTCTGCAACTCCCAGTTCTCCCTGTTGACAGCCATACTGGGAAAGCTCCAGGGAGGACTTTTGTGGGTAGACCTTCTTCTCTGTTAGTGAACTTTCCTCTCTGTGGACCTCCTGTATCCCCTGGGATGCCCTTCAGGAACCATAGGATTTAATTCCAACTTTTCTTTTTCACTGGAATTTGAATTTTTAATTCACTGTGTATTTATCTAACATGGGAGCAGCAGATGATTGCAGTAATCTCCAAAATCTATTTTGGAGCAATGTAGAGGATCTATGATTTAAATAGTGCTTGTAGTACATTTAGTTCAAAAATCGAGGAGGAAAAATGTCAAACCTTATCTCTTATTTGTAGCAAATCCCATTTGTTTTCTGCAAACATAAAAGTTTAGTTCTTGTTGGCCAATGAGCATCTCCTTTTCTCCAATGCAAGGATCACTGTAGTGTGTCAACGTGGAATTCCTGTACCCTGGGACTCTGTTTCATGTGTCAGATGATCCATGCTTGATCTTCTATTCCTGATTGGTGTCAGAAATCTCTTCTCTCTCTTTAATTAAAATCTTTGGAAGCATATAGAACCCCCTCAGCAAGGATTCTATCCTTCGTGTGGTTTGGCTTGCTCGCCTTCATTTTGAGCTAAATTCATGTCTAAATGACTGGACATAATAACAACTGGACTTTTCTGATAATCAGGCCGACTTGGGTCTCATTCAGATGATCAGCAACCATGGTTTAAATGATGGCAAACAAGGCATGGCAAGCTTCAGCTTCAAACACTGCCTTTCCTCTTCCCTTCACATGCTTTCACTTTGGCTAAACCACAGTTTCCCATTATATTTGATCTCAAGGAACTGTGGTTTATTCTTACACTAATTTGAGATCAAATTACAGGTTGATTCTGGTTTGTTTTAACTAACAATGGTTACAATAATCCTCTGTTACCTGAGTTTATATGTAATGGGAACCTGGCTTAGTCAAAAGTGAAAGCTTTCTCCTCATCTCACATACAAAGGAGAACAGGGGTGCAGATTGTGTGAACTCAAGTCTCATATGGCTCATTTACAACTTCTTATGCCAGAGGTGGGCAGATGATTTAGTCTACAAGCCCCATTTCCAGCCAACATAACCAATAGTGATGGATGATGGACATTGTAGGCCAAAACATCTGGAAGGCCAGAATTTGCCAGCCTCAATCTCAGTCATCGATCCCTCCAAATTCAAGTCAGAAATTCTCATGAGAAAATTTTCAGCTCATCACTAATCTTAAACAGTTTGGAACTTACTTCATACAACCCTTTTCAGTGGAGAGGAACATTCAGAATTTTCTTTTTTAAAGAGATCTGGGTATCTTGGGCTTGTATGTATTTCAGTGTTCTAGTTGGTGGGCACGTATTTATTTATTATCTATTTAAAAATTTTCTATATCGTCATTCATTAAAGATCTCATGATGGTTTACACCCCCCACCCCCCTTAGCAATTTTGTTAGCTCTGTGTTTAAGTAGTCTGTCAATCCTGATCCTCATTCTATATGTGCATAGACATTCATCTATCCACCCACATGTCCCTGAACCCATCCACATCTAGCAAAGCATTTCAGGTCCATGGGAAAATATTAGCAGGAACATACTTTTGAAAAATATTCTGTTGGAATGAAAAATACTCTTGTTGGGTGTTACAGGAAAGGTCACTGAGCAGCAGTGTGTGGGCAGAAATCTAGTCTTCCACTTTCAAATCTTCCAAAAACCTTCTGAATTTTGCATTCCCATGTATATTTTTAACTAGAAATTTAAAAAAATCCTTGTAAAATCTCTAATAACCAAAATTTAAATCTCTAAATTTATCATAACCTATACAATAAATACATTGAATCCATTGATAATTATGGTTTTACCTTATAGCCCTTTGGATTATATAACTTGTTTTTAAAGCTTAGAGCATAAGGCCCTGTACCATTTCACGTCCCCTTTCCTTCTGTTGCCTAAGCCATGTTTGCATGGATGAGCCCATGGTACCTGTTGCAGGAATGGCGTCCACTTGTCTCCACTTGCACTGCTAGCCCTTCTACAGGCCATTAAGCTGAATAAAGCCTTCTCTGAATATATCCCTGTGCAATGCACTAGAAAGAGATTCTAGAGGTAACCTGTGTTTTGACTGAAAACAATGGCAGTTCTGTGCAAGTTGCTCTGTGAGTGCTGGTTGTGAGTACCAGGTTGACCAAGGTGAAGGAAAATGTCCCAGTTTGCAGAAGATTTATGTGTGTGCAGGGAAACTCACCCGCAGCCTTTGCTAGATTTGCTAGCCTGTGATAGCAGTTGGAGAATCTGTGTTTGGTTTCTCCCTTTTCATCACTGCAGGTTGTTCCAAAATATGGAAGTTTATACCTGCACGTTTTGCCACGATTGGAAGCAATGTATCTCTAATTCAGGGATGAGCAACTGAATGCTTTTGGCCTACAGCTTTCATCAGCCTTAGCCAGCAGTGCCTGTGGTGAGGCATGATGGGAGCTGAAGTTCAAGAACATATCAAGGACTGAAAGTTTCCCACTCCTGTTCTAATAGTTTAATCAGCCTTACCCTGGGTCCCTTTGGGTACCTGCCTGGGAAACACTGTGCTAGGTGACATGTGCTGGCAGGTAGCATGGTCATGTGTTTGATGCCTAAGTCTGGCCCCATCCTCTCCTAAGAGAACTGGTACTTAAATCTTACTTCAGCTCTGGTTGTTTCTGCTGCATGTCAGGGTTGTTTAGGCATTGCTGGGCAGTTGTGTGGTATGGCATTGTCCCCCAATGCCTTACCATCCCCCCACCCTTCCAGAAACCATCACCTGCGGCAGCTGTCTCAGTCTGTCCACAGGCAGGGCCTGCCTTGCAATGGGAGCAAAGACTTGGCTGTTACATAACAAGCTGCCTGTGAACTTCCCGGGGGATTTGACTGCCTGTGATAGGAGACGGAATATTGGACAAGATGGAATCCAGCCATGCTTCTTTTCATACAAGGGGAAAATGTTGAATCTCAGGATTATTAAGTCAGAAGGGCTCTCCGAGGTTCAGTAGTTGAACCCCTGCTCAGTGGAGGATCTGAGTGCAGAGAGTGCAATAGGAGAATGTCTGACAGATGGGCTGCCCAGCTGCTGCTTAAATACCTCAGGCAAAGAAGAGCCCACCAGCTCCCATAGCAGTATCTTCCAGTGGGAAAAGGCAGGAAAACGTCTCCCTCACATATAGATTCATATATTTCAGAAATGGCTGGCAGCAGGAAAAGGTATGCCCCATATGTAAGAACCTGTGTTAATGCTCTCAGCCCTCTCCCCCTGTATACCTAATCCATAGTGCTTCCCATACCCACAAAAACCTACAGTGCTGCATTACCAAAATCACTTTTCCTTTGGGATGTCAACTCATTTTTGCTTGAATTAAGGGTGAGAAGTAGTCTTAGAAACCTGATTATAGCTGAAAAGAGTAATGAGATATTGCCATGGTGGTTCAGTGCTCAGAGACTCACCAGTTCCCTGTCCCTAGCAGAAATTTGTGTTTCAGGAATCTTTGTTCAGTAGATGATGCCACTGTTTGCAGCTGGGGTTCGTGGGGGTGGGCGGGGAGAGGATTCATAACCCCGGAGGGTTGATGTCAGAGCGTTACCCTCAACCATGCATTATGCTTTTATATAAGCTGCATTGGGGATGCTTCTGGATCAGAAGATGGGACAGAAATCAGATAAATTAATTTATTAATGCATGCCTGTGTACCTGCAAATGTGGATATATAATTTGGAGTGATAATACTGTAAATTCAAAGCCTACAGCCAAAGATTTGACTCATGATTTCAATTAAATTCTAACCTCTGCGGTTCTCAGTCATCTCCTGGTTGTGCATATGAACCCATTCTGTCCCTCCCATTCTGTCCCTCCCAGGTTCTTCTCCTCCATCATCTCTGGACCACTTCTTCCAGCTGTCCTGTCTAGGACTCCTAGCCTTTCAAAGAATTCTGTCTCTCCATTCCGTAGTTACCTGGTATTTCAGATCAGCCACGAAGGCCCCACTCACTTGCCCACCTTTGAGGGAAGTTAGGTAGGCATGTGCACAAGAGAGGGTCTTTTTCGTGGTGGTCCACTCCTCTGGAATGCATTGCCCTTGGGTTTCCATCAGGTCCCACTGCAGCAGGCTTTTAGGAAGTCCCTGAAGACCTACTTGTTTTGGCCTTTCCCAGACTGTTTTGCTAGACTGTTCTGCTCTGTAGCTGCAATGATGCTGTAGGCATTTAGTAGAGTTTTATTGCTGGCTTCTGTTCTTTTATTATTCTGTTTTATTTATTTTTCTTCTGTTCTGTCTTATTATTTTCTCTGTGTTTCATTCATGCATTTTAATGTTTTAAGCTATCTTCCAACACCAAGTTTCTGGGAGAGCTTGCTTATTTATATATCTATTTATTTGTAATGCTGGGAACAATAGATGGCAGAAGAAGAAGGGGACGGCAGAGGATGAGGTGGCCAGAGTCACTGAAACAGTTGGTGTGAGCTTAAGTGGACTCTGGGGGATGGTGGAGGACAGGAGGGCCTGGAGGAATGTTGTCCGTGGAGCCGCGATGGGTCGGACACGACTTTGCGACTAACAACAACAACAATTTATTTGTATGCCACTCCCTCAGTGGGGAGCTTGTTCAATGCTTGTTCGTTGGGGTGCCAGTGTTCAGTGCATGAGAAAGCCCATTCATGCATTACACTGGGGCACCAGGGCAGAGGTTGCCTGTCAGCTGCAGAGCTCTTTGCAACACAGCAGCAAAACCAGCCAGCTAACCAAGCCACGCTGGTTTAGAGGTGCCAGCTTTTACTAGACTATGAGCTTCTGTAGATGCTACCATTTAGGTGTGTAATGGAATGTGAAAGTGGAAAATACATGCTCACATGCGTCACATGGGCTGAGGGTTGATTACAAAAGAAAGACTACCAGCAGAATAAAGAAAAGACGCTGGTACAGGAGTTAAGTTTATTTTTAAAGTATGTGTTGCATTTGCTTTTAGTCAACACTGCAACAACTCTTTAAAGTGTTCAAAGTACTCTTTGAACATTTCCTTAGTGTCTTACACAGCTTTCCAATGAGGTCCACAGAAGTTTCTGGCCAAGAAAAAAATTGGCCATCCTGCTTTCCCATGTTTATCTGTAATAATTAGTTGTGGTTTAAAAGAAAAACAAAGTCCAACTGCTTTTCTTTTCTACTCCTTTAAAGCAGTGTGGAAGGGTGGGGGAACAAGTGACCCTTCAGATGTTGTTAGACTGCATCTCTGTCATACCTTACCCTTGGCATTGTTGGTGGTTCAGGAGTATCTGGAAGACCCGACATTCCACATAGCTGCTATAAGCTTTCCCTTCCTGGCTGCAGCTCTTGTTTTCTATGAACCAAAATGCTTCACCTGCATTGATGTATTGTTGTTGCTGTTGCTGTACACATGCTCTGTCCTACTGTTCCTCCATTCAGTTAAGGTTGTTGGTTACTCCAACACCCTCTTGAGAAGTAGGCAAGATTGTGTGCCTGATACTAGCACAATGTTGTTCAGTAAGCTGCTGATTGGAGATTTTCATTTCTCAAGTCAGTAGTCTAACCACTATACTACACTGTGTCTCCCTGTTGGTGTTCTCTTATTCACTCAGCTCTTTTTCTGCATGCATGTCAACCCATATATGATTTGCTACTAAAATGCCAAACTTTGCTTTAATCTTAGAGAGCATTCATTTGGTGGAAAAATAGGGATCTGTAAGAGCAGCTCTTTTGCCAATACAATGACTGCCTGTCTTTACACAGGACAAGAGTCACCTGCTGTCGACAAAAATGTTCTGTCAGAATTTTGGAGGAATAGAAGATTGATGGCATCAAATAACGAGTCACATGAAGCAAAGAACTGCACAGAGCCAGGTAAGGAGGTTTTCATTTCTAATTTCTTGGGTTCCTGTGGCCAGAGCTGCAGTGATGTGTCAGTCTTGAAGACTTGGCTGTGCAGCTAGAGGGTTTAATGAGCACAAAATGTGGCGAGAGAGCGCCGACACAGGAACTGAAGGCCTTTCCCAGGCAAGCAGGAAGGCAGGTTTTGGTCACACAAAATGTGCCCTACTCTTCACAGTGATTCTCCTGCGGGTCCATGTCCAGTGCAGCTGCCAAAAAAGTAACTGATTGTGAACAGGTGACTTTGAAATGTTGCCTGTTTTCATCATATACTGATCTGCATTAAAACAATTGTGTTTAACTTACTTGGTTTTATTAGTTTGCCCAACTTTTGATGGAGTAGAGAACAAAAGTATCGCTGGCCCTATCAGGGTTAGGGATCTGGAGGCAAGGAGGCAGCAGGGCCTTCCCCAAACTGGAGCCAACTGGATGTGTTGTGTTTCGACCCCCATCAACCCTGGCAGCTGGCCGAACAGGATGGGAGTTGTAATCCTACACATCTAGAAGGCAGCAGGTTGGGAAAGTGTGTGGGGATGATGGGAGCAGCCCATGCTAGCAGGGGGTAATAGGAAATGTAGTCTAGCTTCCAGAAGATACCGGGCTGGGAAAGGCTGAAGCAGATAGTGGAGCGGAAAAAGTGATAGTTCAAAGGGCAGGCAGTCAAGGGAAGGTAAACTTTTGTGGTCAAAAGTTTTGACGTTTGTCAAACTTTTGACAGTTGTAGTCAGCTCAGTCAATCCGTACCAAAGTAAGGAGGAGCTAGCCTGGAAACAGAAGGCTGGGTTGTGCTAGCCAGACTAATAGCTGCAGTAGTGCCCTATTGCCATCCGATATTGCGCCACAAAAGCAGGGAGCGTGTTTGCAGCTCCCTCCTCTGGCTGGCTACTACAGTGGTGTCAAGGGGAGGCATATGGCTCCCAGTTCAAGGTTCCTTGTGCGTTACAGGCACATCAGCTCACTGGCTAAAGGGCTTTTTGGAAATGTCCCACTTCCCTATAGCTTTGCCACTTATGTTTATCCAAATTATACACATTAAAATGTCGATTTTTTCTAAATTCATAATTATGGCATATACCATAATTTTTCGTAAAGGAGAGACAATACTCCCACAAGGGGTATATGTATGCTAAACTTCACTGTGATCAAAAAATGTGCATCTTTTAAGACCACATCTGTTCACTGAGCTGGAAATTCACACTCATTGAACCATTAGCATAGGAATGAGAGCATAATTTGAGTTTATAATTGCTATTTTCCATATTACTTGCTGCATGTATCATATTCACATTAAAGTAATTAGAGGAAAATGGATGTTCTTAGTATCACTTGCAAATGTACTTTGAGAATATGGCCAAGACCAAACAAAATGATTGTGCTGATTCTTGCTGTGTGGCCACAGATTTCCGTGATCCTTAAATCTCACTTTCTGCTTTGCCAACCTGCCTATAACAATATATTGCCAATATTGTAAAGCACACATAATCTGACTCAGAAGGAATTTTAAAAGAGTAGGAAGGACCTATTCTCTGCTCAGAGTGTCCGTGGATCATTTATTTGGCTGTGGCCCTGCTCTGTAGCTTCCTTAATGTACTAGTTAATTCACCCTCGTTATAGGAAGAGGATACTGGTTTACTTCTGCTGGATATTCAACACATTTCTTCATTGGTTATCATTTCCCATTTGGAATCTCTTGGATACAAATGAAGCATGATTTGAGGCTTTCTCCAAGTGTACATCATGGAATCCACTCCAAGAAGCTGATAGCTGATACCAGCTGGGACTTTGCCAAGCTTCTGTTGTTATGTGTCTTCTCAAATACTATTCACTTCCCCTTTGCTTTTGTGAATAACTTTTTAAAGGATTTTGGGAGACAAAATTCCTTTGTTATTCCTAATGTCCCATTGTTCCAGAGTTTCTGTAAGCCTGTTCAATATAAAGGAAAAGCAACAGTAGCATGTCTTTTTGTCTGTTATAAAAATGTAACATAGGAAGAGTCTAGCTGGACCAGATCAAGAATCAATCTGTGTTGATTCCTTGCTAGATGGGATGGTCAGCATTCCCTGGTGCATGTTGAACAAGTGAAGAATTATATATTTCTTTTGGGATGTTCGCTGAATTTGTCTGCTATTATGAACATAAGTGCACATCAACATTCTGCAGATTTTGGCATTCTCTGTAATGGATACATTAGATGGATTGATGTTGGTAGGGTTTTTATGGTTGCTTTATAAACCACATTACATGCTTTATTGTAGGAATGTACATATATAGACATCCTGCAGGGTGAAGGAAAATCTTTGCCTCGCCTTATGTTTTCATATTTTATTTTGTTGTCGGTTTTACTCTATTTAATTTTTTTATTTTAGGTGATGTGCTGTGTGGACCCTTTCCAAAGCTACAAAGTGTTACATAAATGTTGTTATGGGTGAATGAATAAATAAAAAATAATGTGGAGATGCATAACCCTTCTTTTTTTTCTTTTTCTTTTTTTTTGGAAAATGGGTTACATCCTCTGCACATGAGGGTTCTTTAGGCAGTTCAGGGCAGTTGTGCGGCTGTGTCTTCCAATGCTTTGCCATCCCCCACTCTGCCAGAAACTGCCGCCTGAGGCAGTCTCCTCACTCTGTCTAATGACAGGGCCAGTCTTGTGCTGGGAACGAAGCTCACATGGCCTGCCTGTGAGCTTCTGAAGATATTTGACAGGGTATGTTAAGAGTCAGAATACTGGAAAAGATGGAGTTTGGAAAGGGCATTCTTACACGCTATTCGTCATATATGGAAATAGCATTGGATTATGGAGTTATAAAGTTGGAAGGGCTTTTGGAGCCCCTGGTAAGTCCACAAAGGCAATATGAAACACCTCCTCCCAGCTCATGTTCCTCAGCAACTGCTGCACCATGACTAGTAGCTTTCGATACACTTGTCTTCCATAAAAATCCAAAAATCAAAGAAGCTGAAACAGCAGCAGCAAAAAGCAACTGTAAATATTAACAACTATGAGCTAGAAATCAGCACTGTTTAAAGACAGCTCCTGTGGTTCTCCCTCCCCCTGCAAAAAAATTGTTGATGCAATTGATAATATGTTTTCATATTTCCTTATAAAACTGATGAATTTAGATGGCATTATGTGAATAGGCTGTTCGCCACTATACCTAAATTACATTAACCATGTGCACATCTTGACTTTTCTTTCCATCCTCAAGGGAAGACAATTCTAAAAATTCTCCTAGGTAACTTGTTCCTTTATCAAACAGCTTGAGGGCATCTTGCAAGAACTCTGCAAACTGTTAGAAAGTACAAAAGTATGAAGTAATATTTCACATTGTGTTCTCTTCAACTTATTATTAATGATTCTGGACTTGCTGTATTGGAAAGAAAACATCTTAAAGTTCTTGCGATACTTTTTTTTATAAAGCCTTTCAAATGTAGCCCAAGGCTGTGAGGAGACATGGAGGAAAACAAATAGCAGGAATCCATTCAGTTGTTAATATTTGTAAAATAGATGTGAGATGGGGGCAGTCTAGAGCAAAGTTAGCGTTCTGATATTAACTGAAATTTGATAAACTGCAATTCTGTTCTTTGTGGAAATGACATACTCCCTGTTTAGATTGTAAGTTCCTTGTGGTCTGAGAGCTATCTAATGTTTGCTTTCAAAACCTCTGTACAATGCTATTTGTACTTATGACAGTGAACAGGTTTGTGTATTATGGCATGCAGTAGGAAACTTGCAGGTTGAGCTGCGCTGCATCAGTCCAAAGGTGCAATATAGTCATACATAATGATTCCCCATAGTGGCCAGTGGATGCTAACTGAATGCCTTCCAATTCCCATAGTGGCCATTAGCTGTCTTTTTCTATTATATCCTAGCAACTGGTATGCAGAGTCAAGTTGCTTCTAATACTGAGGGCAGCATATAATCATCATGACTAGAAGCCTCTGCTAGTCTTATCCTGCATGCATTCATCTAATGCCCCTTTAAAATCGGGCGTCATTAGTCTGCCCATGATAGCAAATCCCTTTGTTTAATTAGGTGTGCATGGAGTTGGCTGGCAGTTAAGACTCATACTAGCTCCATTTAAGTATCTTAAGTGTCTCTTCTTACAATAATTTAGTCCATAATTGTAAATCTTAAGCATGCCACTCAAAGCCTCTGGGCAGTTAGCCAAGTGTACCCATCAGGACTTCCCGTTGAGGATGTTTTTGGGGACATAAAATTTCTGAATGCATCCTAAGGCTCATTTCTTGCACATGACAGCTGGTTCCCACTGCTTGCTTGCCGGGGCTGGGCGGGCAGGAAGCTTACTCTGTAGGCCAATTTTTTTTCAGGTAAACACCATTTATCAACATGGTCTGGAGTGTAAGCCCTAAGGAGTTCTGTACAATGGAGCTTGTGCAAATTTCATAGCTAAGATTATTTCTGAACTCCTCAGGTGACAGGCGCTCATCATGATGGTATGCTTTGGCTTATTTGTCCAGCTGTCAAAAGGTCATGGAAACAGATGCTGTTGGGGTGTGGATCAAGATGTCATCTGGCAGGTCTATTTTGGTGTTGGTTTTTCATTTCGTGTACTTATTTGTTACTTAAACTGAATGACTTCATCGCTATCTAAAAGTGCAGCGAACAACGCGGTGACTGTGCTCCTGTCTTGGCTGGGATGGGTCTCAGCTGGAACTGGAGGTGTCTTGCCACTATGCAGCCGGGCTCAGACAACAACAGTTACCTGTTTCCAGCAAGAGTCAGACTGCAGGGCCCAGCATTCTGCCTGACTTTGGCCAGCTCCCTGGCAAGACAAAAGTTGCTTCAGCATGGACTGGAGCTCAGCTGAACCAGTAAGGCCATTCTTTAGCTCAGGGTGAGCAGGCAATTAAATGAGTACAGGAAACTTTCTAATGCTAGACTGGACTTGCAGCCCAGTATGCTCTACTCTGGCTGGCAGCTGTTCTCCAGAAATTAAAGCACAGGTGGCGGCATC